ACCTCACCGGGTCCCACATGTACCTCTCTGTTGCCGACGCCACCAATGTGACCGTGACCATCATTACTGGAACCGCTGGAACTCAGAAATGGAGAATTCTTGTTAGATTTTACGAAACCGGTTCTATTTTACACCCCCCATCCCCGCTTACAATCCCCATGCTTTTTCAGCCCATGAAATCAATTAATGCAAACGTATAACCCTCCATTTATATAAATCCGCAATATTCAGAAACCAAAACAGAAAATAATCAGTATTAAGCCTGACAAATAAGGATATCTTAGTTATCCTTGGTGCGATATGGATTTAAAGAATACCGTTGTAGATTGGAACATCCCACTCAATGAGTTGTAAAACAAATGAAATTACATTTACATTCTTTTCAAAAATTTATTGTACGATTTGCCAAGTACAGTACTTTTTCTCTTTCTTAAAAAGTAACGGGGGAACTGTTACGACGAAAATGTCAAATGTTTTCTACACAATTCAAATTAGAAACGGTATTTAGAGAGAAAATGGATTTGAGCATTTTTTCAAGAAAGTGTTCCAAAGTTGCAATTTTATTCAGATTTGGGACAATTGGGAAATGCCGTTTGGGAAATAGCTATTAGGGAAAAGGTCTATTGGAAAAACGTTTATTTGTGAAAACGCCTTTTGGCCGGGAATTAGCCCTTGGGAACATTCATTTGGGAACATACAAACAAATACTAAACAGATTCAAGATTTCGTGTGCAGCATTTTGGCACTTTTTTGTATTGTAAACTAGCTATATAAAAAAAGTCCCCCCCCCCCCTTCAATCTCATTAGCACTCACGCTTCACTCGACTAAAATAATTTTTAACTTAATTTCAATATTTCAGACAGAACAGCGGAACCATCCAATCCTTCAACTTCAACCCTGCCGCCGCCGCCGGAACCAATCAGCTTCTGACTGATCATATGTACAGTATCTGTATCAAGGGTGTGCCAAACTTCTGTAATGTCGCAATGACCGCTTCTAATTTCTCCCTGAGCGGTACCGCCGGAGCCTGTACCGCCGCGGATGATAAGATTGTACTCGGCGCCACTACCTACTGCGGAGCTACTTTCGGAACCGCTGGATCCGCAACATGTAAGCATTTCTAGAAATATTAAGAAAAGAGCTACTTATTCGCCTCAAACTCTATTTTCTAATCTTTGCTTGCATGGTATGAACATTTTGGTTTGACAAACTTTGCTAATTTATTATAGATCAATTTATAGTTTGAAACATGGAAGGTCTACGACGCTAGCTTGATAAGATTCAGAGCAAAGCACAAATGATGAGACTTTACAGACGACCAAAAATTATTCAAATATTACTTTCTTTATGGTTTTGCTGGGCAAAACATGTTCACCGTATCAGGGAACCAATAATGTATCGAAACAAATAAAATAAATTCCTTACAGTCGTCTTTGAAGTTTAATCCAATTTCTGGGTAACCCTTTAAAAGGATTATATTTTAGAGTATATGAATAGTAATCTACAGTTCCTTTTATTAAAAATTTTGGAATTTCTGTACAGAAACGACTGTAACATATTTTTATTTTTAATTCAACATTTATGGTTTGTGTTAATATTGTTATTATTATTATTATTATTATTGTTATTCTCTGATCCCCCTTATCCCCTTTCTATGACCCAAATTCAACCTTCTCTAACCTCCATTCCCCTTATCTCACCAATTTTTCCCTTCTCTGATCCCATCTCTCCCTTCTCTGATCCCATCTCTCCCATCTCTTACCCCATCGCCCCCTGCTCTATAATATTTCCATATCCGTTCCGCATCCTCTTCTCAAATATCGCTCCATCCACCTTATCAATTAGTATACTAACTACTTAGCATAAATATCATTACGTTTAAAGCTAACGCCTAACGTTTTTCAGGTGTTAAATTTGCGTAAACAAAAATTTAAACCTTCAGATACATTGGGGAAATCCTCATTTAGTTTAGCTTACCTTCAGCAACATTTAATATTTTTTCTTCATTATTTATCATTATTTTACACTAGTATTTTTATTTTTCACACGTAATAGTTTTATTTATTGTTTTTTTTCTGAGAAAAATCTTTATTTCACAATTTTAATTTTTTTTTACTTTTCTCGTGTTTTTTATTTGACTGTTTTATTATTTTTGGTGCATATCTTATAAGTTAATTATTATACAGTGATAACTAGAATACTCTGCATGAATCAGCAAGACGACTTTTAGAATGAATTTATAACTTTTAAAAGTCCATTGAGCATGAGGCACAGTACAGTACAAATACAATTGTGTATATGTTTGTCCAACGCCCATACTTGATAAAACTTGGCCCATTTACAATGATTTTGCTCCATGTTTTCTGTACTTGAAAAACATTATTTGCTTGGTTTATATTCTACATTAGTATTTTTCTTGTTGTAAAGTAATTATATTGGTTTCAATATGTTTGATCCAAATATTTATTCGGCCAATCAATTATTGGTTTAAGGTATAAAATAGCCAATGCTCTAGATGTGTAACCATATTAATGCAAGATACTAACGTATTCTTTATATATATAAAGAACAGACACTATTCAGAATCACATATTGTAGGTAAAAAAAACATTTTTCTTCTGAAGCATTAGATAGTAAATAAAGCTTGTTTAAAGGGACTGTGCTCGTAGTTTTTGGGTGACCTCTAATTCAAATATTGGTGTGTCTGATTCACACCTTCATCTAAGTAAGAATGAAGTATATTGACAGGAACTACATATCTGAAGTCCCTTTCAGAAAGTATATTGACAGGAACTAAATATCTGAAGTCCCTTTAAGGAAGTTTTGACAGGAACTAAATATCTGAAGTCCCTTTAAGGAAGTATTGACAGGAACTAAATATCTGAAGTCCCTTTAATGAAGTATTGACAGGAACTACATATCTGAAATACCTTTAAGGAAGTATTGACAGGGACTAAAAATCTGAAGTACTTTTAAGGAAGTATTGACAGGAACTACATATCTGAAGTCCCTTTAAGGAATTATATTGACAGGAACTACATATCTGGAGTACCTTTAAGGAAGTATATTGACAGGAACTACATATCTGGAGTACCTTTAAGGAAGTATTTACAGGATTTAAATATCTGAAGTACCTTTAAGAAAGTATTGACAGGGACTAAAAATTTGAAGTCCCTTTAAGATAGTATTGGCAGAAACTAAATATCTGAAGTACCTTTAAGGAAGTATTGACAGGAACTAAATATCTAAGGTCCCTTTAAGGAAGTATTGACAGGAACTAAAAATCTGAAGACAAAAACGTGAGAAAACTCTGTTCTCTCTAAAATGACCTTGCTGGAACAATTCCTTACCACAAAGCTATATTGTATAAACTTTAATTTTCCTCAAATTAATTGCAATTTCAGGTTTTTCCTGACATTTAGTATATCCTATAAGTCAGAATATATCTTATTACAATTACAACTTTTATTAAAATTTAAGAACACTTAAAATTTTAAACTTAAAGAAGATTACAAAAATGAATTACAAGAAATTTCATTGGATCTAAAAGGTTTTGTAAAATCCGTTATTTATGGTATACAATACATTTTTCTACAGTGACTCCTTTGAACAATTCCCCCAAAGTATTATTTCCAATAAACTTCATCTTGACTCTTGAGCACAAATTGTAAAGACATCCCCTTGACACTAGAGTACACATATTTCGAGACATCCTGTGGATTCAGAAACAAAGAGTACATGTTTAAATACACTGCATAAATACTATTGCAAATCTGCATTATGTATCAGAATTGAAGCATATGGTATTGTTTTAAAACCACGGAATCGTGTTGCGAAGATATGGCATTGAAACTTCTAGATATTGGTTAGCAAACAATGAAACGCTGATTCAGAAACAGATAGTGAATTTATTTAAAAGCTATTTTATACTTTTATAAATTTTTACATTTATTTGCTAATTTCTATAGAAACTGGACTCTCAATTCAACGTAAATTTCAGTATTTGCGAAAATAAATAAATAGCCATGAATATGCGGGAACAGTTTTAAAGAGTTCCATATAATCATTTAATTAAAAAAACTATCTATCTGCAACATTCCATTGTCAGAAAGTGAAGAATACGACATTTGATGAATTCTTTCGATGTATTCGTTATTAAGGGTTTCACTGTATGACAATTTATTTTTCTAAACGTTGAATTAAATCTTGCAGAAAAAATAAAAATATTTAGTTCTAAAAAATCTTGCAGAAAATGCGTTTTCGCGTCTTCTATTTTTCTTTAATTTATATTTTCAGTCATTATGATGATGAAGTTGTAATATTTCAATACAATCTTAAAAGATTATGCATGACTTCTGAGTAATCCCATGTAAAAGACAAATAACACCCCATAAATAAAGAATATAAGAAAAGAATCTGAAATCTTAATCCAAGAATTATTGATCCGAATAAAAATAAACATCTAAAAATATCTCCACAGATATTCATAAAATTTTTGTTTTTATAATTTGAAATCACATTTAATTGATTTTTTAATAGTTCCTTAGTCTCTTATATCTTTGTTGATGGTATCAACTTTTTGATTTTTCAAATATTACCTTTCTGTTGAAATAGAAATAAAAAAGGGCTGTATCCTTAGATTGTAAAGATATAAGGATTAGAAAATTATAGTGGGATGAGAGTAATCAGCTTCTTTAGTCTAACAAACTCCAGATATATGAGTGAACTGCACTGGGTAAAATATGAGTGTACTGTACTGTGTAAAATATAAGTGTACTGCACTATGTAAAAAATGAGTGTACTGCACTGTGTAAAATATAAGTGTACTGCACTGTGTAAAATATAAGTGTACTGCACTGTGTAAAATATGAGTGTACTGCACTGTGTAAAAAACGAGTGTACTGCACTGTGTAAAATATGAGTGTACTGCACTATGTAAAATATGAGTGTACTGCATTGTGTAAAATATGAGTGTACTGCACTGTGTAAAATGTTTTAGATGTTGAGAGTTTGTATTGGTTTATCCTTGCTATCTTGTATACTCGGGGCAGAGGTTCGGATACCTTCAGAGAAGAGGATACAAGATTCAGATCTAGCTGTTCCAGGAGAGAACAGAGATGAAAAATGTAAGTTTTCAAAGTTTTGTAATTGGGTTACATAAATACAGTGTTTTTGTATCTATACAACCTTATTTTGTCACGATTTTTAATTTCCTCGGTAAAAAAATATTGATTTTTTTGCTTTTGAAAACCTCAAACCAAATTTAAAGGAAAGCTAAAAGTGTTTGACCTATGTAGACTGGGTTAAAGCAAAGTGATTAAACTTAGTCTAGGTAGTTCAGCTTCCTCTTGAATTTTCATTACAGGAATTGGGTCTGTGTCACAAACTGAAATTTTCAAATTCTTTGCAACCTGATGGTTTTTCTAACTTAGATTATTGGATCTAACTGAACTTATAGTTTGAAATATCTAAGGTGTACGACATGTTGTTGCAAAGGTATAGGGATTAGAAAATCAGAGTTTGTGGCAAATAATCAATTTCTTTGATCGCCGATTTATCCATTTTTAAAGAATAAACTTTCTTTTTTTGTAAATATTATTGTAAAACCATTAAAGATTGACATTTCCTGTAGTCAGGGTTTAAGAAATTGACCTTTAAACTAGATATTTTGATAAATCTTAAATCAATCCGGTCTGACAGGTTTCAGTTTGGAGAAACTATTTGGAAAAATCTTCATCTTGATAAATATCAATCTTTTTATAAACTTTCACTTTCTATTTCTTGTTTTGTAAATCTAGATTTAACCGTTACTTTCAACCAGATGTGTGTCTTATTAAGTGATAGTTTAATTGGTTTGTTCTTCTAAGTATGAATTTAATAAGTTGAACTGTCCAAACTAATTTGAACCACTTCTTTTCAATTTGAACCAGCGCACTAAAGAAGTGGTTCAACATTTTCTAGGAAGCTCAACCTTTTTTGCTAATCACTTTAATTTTCCTAGTCCATAGGTTCCGCCATTTCATATTTCTTTTCATATATCTCAATTCTTTTTTTTCAGTTTTGAGTGTGTTTCAAATCATCAAGTTCAACAATGGCATGTGTAACGCTACTGATGGAAATATGGGTGTTTGCTACACTGAGGCTGAGTGTTTAGCTGGTGGTGGAGTAGCGACTGGATCTTGTGCTTCAGCTTTCGGAGTCTGCTGTGTCTGTAAGTTCATCTCAAATTATATATTTCTATTGTCCTTCTATGTTTTCCCATATATTAACCCTACCCCCATGTTCTTTATCCGTCCTTGGTGCCTTGTTCAATCTCTTCCTAAAATTTTTGAATTTACAATCTTACTCATTTGTTTTAACGTTATGAGATTGTATGAAGGGGATGCTTTGGTATACCGTCCCACTTGGCCTATACAGTCTGTATGTGTATAGCTTGAAATGAACCGAAGTTAATAAATGTAACAAAATATTGTTTTTAAATTAAAGTTAGGTTTAAATAGTTCACTAAAACTATAATATTCGGCTCTTGTTCTTGATAAAAATAATCATTTTGACATATTTTCAGTTACTGCAAAGACCTGTGGCGCTACTCTGAATAAGCAAGTGACGTATATTGAGTCCCCAAACTACCCTGCTCTTGCACCAGCTGGAATGTGTATGTTCAATGTTGCCAAATATGACTCCGGAGTGTGCCAATATAAGTAAGCAATTTCCACAAAAAAAAATATGAATAATCTCTTTCGCGAAATGTTGATGACCCTATTGAAAAACTCTGATTTCTCAGCAATCGAAAAAAAAATGCGTAAAAATATTGAAATATTTGTCTGAATTCTTAAGAAACAAGTTTCAAACATTTTAGACATACTAATAATTTTCGTACAAATTATGTTTGCTTTCAAAGGAAATGCGTATTTGTCTCAAACTCTGATTTTCTATTATCTTTGCTTCCCAATGTCGTAGACCTTAAATATATAAAACTATGATTTTTGTTAGATCAAATATTCTAAAATATTCTAAAATATCAAAGGTTTAAACCATCAGGTTGCGAAGATAAGGGATTAGACAATTTTGTGACGACTCAATTTCTTTACGTGTGATAAATGCAATGTTTAAACTTCTCCACTACTAGAATTGAGTTCCTTGATGTTATTCTATCCAACCCGGCTCTGGGAGAATGTACCAATGATACTCTAACCATCACTAACATTGATCCTGTATCTGCTGCCGTTGTACCCACCCCACTCTGTGGAACTCTTACTGGATCCGAAAGTAATTTTTTTATAAATACTTTTTTGAAAAACAGTGGTGAGCGATGAACAAATTTTGATTATTTTAGTCTATACCAGCGTGAACAGTACAGTAACACCTCCTAAATTCACCGTTAATCATGTTTCTGGTATTGCAAAATGGAGAATGAAGGTAAAAAAATTCATTGAAAAGTTTTTTAAACATGTTTAGTAACACATATATCACTGCATATTTCTTAAATAAGTTATATCGAGAAAAAATGAAGAAGTTGTTTTCTGTAAAACTCAAGCCATAGGTTTTCAAGTTTATCAATATCACTGATTATACAACTCTGAAAATTAGCTAATCATAACATTTTAAGACAGTCTCGACTTTAAAGTGTCGCAACTCGAAAAGCATCGACTTTTGCTTTCATCTCATATTCTCACTTTGTAGCCCAAGACATATATATTTTAAAAATGCAACGCGCTTGTTTTTAGTTTAAGTTTAAAAGGAGTGATTGGAGAAATACTGTTCAATTTTAGCGTGAGGACGTTCACATCTTGGATTGCATTGTTCTACTTACAGAACAATGTCGAAATTATTGCTGTCGATTATGAGAAAATATTCAAAAAGATGCTTTTACTTAATTTGAGAAACTCAGCATTTGAAAAATGTGTTGAACCATGCTGTTTAATAAACCGTACAAAAGATTTAAACTATTATTATAAATATTGTAGGTAACCCAGATTGCTTGTACCGACACTGACAAACTTGCCCCCCCTGGATGTCTGACCTATAACACTGGAACATCTGGCACCATCATGTCTTTCAACAACCAGGAAAATAATTCATTTCAAAACATTGGACATTAATGAGCTGAAGCTCCTCTTTAACCTTTATTTTGTGCATAAAACATTCTAGGTTCAATGCATTGGGTAACTTAAGTTGGGTATGGTTATACTGGACCGATTAATGCTTGTTTGGTTTGGATTATGCAATTATTTTGGATCGGCAGATCATTTGTTATAATTTTTCCTTAGGCCGAATTTAAAGATTTTGAGCCGCGAATCTAATTTGAGACATTTTAATTTGAAATATGGTTGGTTGTACTAAATATTTCAAGATTTAAGCCGGCGTTCAGTTTAAACCGGTTTCAGGTGGAATTTAAGACGCGGCTTAAATTCATTAAATTCGGAATCCGGTTACAAATATTAAACATTTTGTAATTGATGTCACAAATAATTTCATATAAGCCTATTAAGACCTTATCCCCCCCCCCACACCCTAAGAAATATCTATTTTGCCATCCGTTTCCTAAAAACAAGAATTGAAGATGAATAATTTAAACTGTAGGGTGGTAATGGAGAACTGATCAACAATCAGCTGTATTCACACTGTATCAAATACCAAAACGGGTTTTGCGACGTAGCATTGTCCGCTGGGTAAGTTCAAACACTTTAAAAAAAAAAATATGTATGAATAATATGCATAAATGTCTTTCAAAGAATGCAAGTTTTAGTGAGATATAACATCTTCTTGTCCGGAAAAAAAACCCACTGATGATTAACTAGAATCAAAAACTTTTCCAACAGTGAATGTGCTTTGATACTTACAACAAAATACTCTTTAATGCCAATCCTAACAATAGGTTTCTTCTCAAAAATATATTCTTTTTATATCATTTCATTAACTAAATAAATGTAAGAACAAAGATTCTGCACAGTCGTCTCCAAAGGCTTCTTCTTCTAAATAACGCTGTATTTTAACAAAATATTTTTCTTTTGGAATTTTGATCTATTTATCTATTCATTCATAAAAAATATTTGTCTTTTACCCTAATGGTTTAAGGTTTTATTTATTGTCTTGCTGCAGGGACTTCATGATGGGTGCTGATGATTCAATCACGTTCGGAGGAAACACACAGACCGGACCCGTCTTTGGTACTGCTGGATCTCTTCTATGTAAGTTGATTAATTTTAATTTTGGGGAAAATTTATAACATTTGTCTCAAAATACATAAGGAACTGTAAGCGTAATTTCAAATAACCACCAATCACAATATTACCCTTTAATTATCTTTAATTGAGTTCAGAGAAATCCGAGTATTTATCTCTAAAATGGTGTCCTAATTGCCAGACAAATTAAGTGTACACTCACCTTTAGAACAACACAGTTGATGGTACATGTATACCAAAAAATCCCCAAATATGTTGTGTCCCACGGGGGTTTTGAAAATTTTCAATAAAATAATTATTTGTTGCAACAATCTATTAAATAATAATATTTTTTAGATAAGAAACAGATTTAAAACAAAGTGTTAAATTATTGCAAGCGTTTCTGTAGATAAATAAGGATAAGTCCGTCAACCTTCATCCGTTATAGGTTTGAAGGGTAATGTTGTGAATCGGACATTCCACTCTGCAAACGGAGTGAACTTTAATTTATGCCTACTGTCTGGCCCTTTAATAGATTTTCTTTTTAGGGAATTTCACCGGACCCTATGTTATTCCAGTACAGAGCGGTTCACTCAATACAGGTAAATATATAAAACTAGCTGGAGAAAAAATATAAATTTGAAAAAAAATTATTTTTTTAGCCTAAGACACTCCCAGGCTACCCATGAGTGTCCACAAAAAATGTCAGCCCAATCGGTCCAGCCGATATATTTCTTAAAAACCCTTAATTGGAATGTCGCCAAAAAAGAGAACTCTAATTATAAATCAATTTTCAGTAAATTTATTTTTTTTATGTTTCTATGAGCCTGAAATATAATCAGCCAATTTAAACTAAATTATATTATATTTATATTATAATATGTAATGTTTTTTTCACCCCGAAACAGCCCTTTAAAAAACAAAAAACGAGATATTTTGCGGTATGAGACAAGGCGGATCACAAATTTTACAACAAATAGATATGCGCATAGTTTATCATGATATTGATAAAAAAAGTAAAAATAAACTTAATTTATTTGCAGCAATGGATTCTGGATACAGCATCAGTTATCTTCTTCTTCCTTGCTAGTTTGCCTCACATCACGACGTAAATCAGGACATCTGCAAGTTTCTGAGAAAAAGTTCAATTCGCGGATTTTCTCTTCACACAAAGATGATTTCTGCGAAAAGATACCTCATGTTTGGGATTTTTAGAACCTTTTACCTTTCTTGATCCGACCGCCTTTATGTTATCATATCATATCGTTGGAAATTGTTTTATTTAAAGAACAAAATCATATGCAAAATAATAGGACATGGTGAGTAAAATAACATACGATAAGAAATTCCAACTATATTACCTTTTTAAAGCAATCATCATCTTATCATCATCTTATCCATCTTAGCATCCGTGTTGCAACCGATGGGAAATGTGCCAATGTTTTTTTTATGTTTTTGTTAAATCTTGTTACAGTTAGTAATGAATCTCCAGCAGTTAGCTATAACGGTGTTTTTATGTCCTTTAAAAAAATAATAGTATTTCCCCCTGGGAGTCTTAATCCTACCAGTAGTCCGCATCGGATAATTTTTTAACGCTTTTAGTTCAGTATCTCTGCAAACCATTTAAAACAGTAGTTTAATGGTTGTAAAACCTTTTATTTGTTGAACTGTGGTATACATTATGTAAATACTTAATAAAAAATAGTTGTTTTTTCTCAATGTTTTTGTGTGTAAGCTAGAGAAATAGAAAATAGATCCCAATTTGTTTTGTTTTACATATTTCCGTACATGTGCATTGTGCATGATGTCTGTATGTTTAATGATAAAATGTATTTGGATAATGAATTAGAATTCCAATTTTTGGTTATTTTAGTTATTTTGGTTATTTTAGTTATTTTGACTGAAAATATCGAATTATTCTATCCTAAAAGGGTTAACTTTGTTCCAAATACCAAAAAACGAGTATTTTGCCCAATTTTTTAAAAGGTATACCAGATTTTTTCTTGAATCCGAGCTTTTAGAGATAGGAACTTTTTGGATATTATTAATTCTGAATACTTGATATCAATATCCAATGGGGGCACTTTAAAATTTTAGGGTCAAGCTTGATCCCTCAATTAAAGTTAGACCTGGAGAACCATCATGAGATATCAAAGAAGAATTGAATTAATCAAGTAGGTCATAAGATGGAATACTTGATATTGAGATGAATAGCACTAAAGACTTTTAAGTTTTGATTTTAAAAGAAAAGCGAATGGTTTGAAAAGATCGTTAATATGTGCCAGTTTCAAAATTGAATTTCTGAATAAATAACCTCTTTTAAATATTTTTTCACTTAAGTAAAATCCAATCTTCTTTGCATTGTTGTTTTAAAAGATGTTTTTTCCTTTAAATTTGTCTAACCGCTATATCTTTGCAGTTTCCGAACAGCTACTGAGAAGAGTAAAAGTTTTTAATTTCGAATAAGCAACCAAATAAAATTGGCTTTTCAAATACATGGGGCAAACCAAAACTAGAAAAGTTGCGAGGTCACAAAGTCATACCAGTTATTTCGCAGAACTTTAACCATTTTCTTGTGTTCATATTGATTGAGATATTGTGCCAATATAAGTAA